CCCCCCACCCCCGGGTGCGCGGCCGCCGCTCCTGGGTAACCCGAGCACCGGCTGCACCCAGGGCTCATCCTGACGTGACCTGGGCTGGGTCCTTCTCATATCAAAGGACTAATTTTATCTGTGCGAGAGCTAGAGTGAAATTATGCGAGCGTGAGCTTGGACTTTAAAATAAAGCAGCAGAAGACCAAAAAAAACCCCTTCAAAATAAACAACAGGGGAGGGAAGGGCAGAAGACGGGTCAGCCGAGCCCTGCCACAGGCTCCTGCCCACGCGAACGGCGTTGACAGCGTCAACTTCCCTCCTCTCCTGCGTTGATACTAGCGGTCTAGGTTTTTCCCTCTTTTGGGCCATCCTTCAGTTGCTCTTTCATTTTTCTCTCCCTGTTCTTGCAGCTGGGGGGCAGCTAAGGCGTCCCACCCGCCCGCTGACGACCCCACGACACACAACGCCCCACGCCTGCGCCAAGCCAGCACCTCTGGGCCCCGCGGCTGAACCTGCTGCTGAATCCATCCCCAACCCGCTTCTGAGCCGCTCCAACAGGGCAGCGGCTTAGCTGCACCCAGCTCGTCCCCTTTAAGCCGGCGGCAGGGTAGCAGCTCCTGCCTGCTCCACGCGCTTTGCTCTGTTGTTGCTGCCACCGGGTGCTGTTTTGGAGCAGGGACATAAACAACCTGAAGGCAGCCCTAAAGACGATCGCTCTGACACGAGTCAGGCACTTCTCCCCCGTCACAGCAGATCAGTTAGGGCTCTGGTATCTGCACACCCGCAGGGCAGTCACGCAGCCCGGGGCAGCGACGCCTCTGCCGGGAGAGGGAAGAGGCGCAAGGGGCTCCCAGCAGCACCCCGGCTGCCCCCGAGGCGCCCGGCAGCGCTCAGGCCCAAAGCTCGCTCCAGCCAACGGCACGACCCCAGCCCCGAGCGCTAGCTCTAAGCCAAGCGAGGTTTCCACAAGCCGTGGAGGCCTGCTCGTACCGTAGAGCCAACGCAAAGACGTCCAGAGACGCCCGCAGGCCCTGGGTCAGAGCTTAGCACCAACCTCTCCCATTACACAAGTGTCCGCACAAAACTCATTTGCTACTTTGAGGTTGGTTGGTCAAACGGTCACAGCAGCAGCCAGGCAGTCCAGAGATCTGGTTTCCATGGTTGGCTCTGCAGTTGCTGGCAAAGCACCGGCGAGGGTAAAGAGGTGACTACAGGACTCGCGCCTCGTGCTCTGCTGCGGGGAGGTTCGGTTCGTCAGTGGGTATAAAGCCTTTTGCAGCACCTGCCTGGAGGCAACTGTCCAAGTGCAAGGGCCGTTCTTTAAAGGTTGAACAAAGTTGTGGCGGAAAGCCCAGGAGAGGCACGCTGGAGTGATTGCTTTGGACAGGGGGCAGCGCCGGAAGGAGGGTCCTTCGGGCAGGACTCACTGGCCGTTCTTTTTATTCTCTAGCTCATGTTGATCTTTCCAGTAGAACTGGCACAGCGCCCTAACTCTGCTTCCCATAAATAAGCACAGCATCATCTGTCATGTCAGCAGGAGACAAAACATTTAATATGAAAGCCTTTAAATGGAAGCAGGAAATAAAAAGATAAAGGGCAAATTTTATTTTAGATTCCTTGTTGGTACATATTTTTCTTTCTGACAGTGAGGGGATGCGATGGCTTTATCAGCCCACCAGTTGCGAACTTATTTATAGCATCCTAATACTTTACAAGAAAGTGGGAAGGGGGGTGTTAGCAACTTTGGTGGAGTTGATGCAAGTTGTAAGCAGAGCAGAGAGCAGGGAAGGAAGATCGAGAATCCAGCTATTCCCCCTTCTTTGAATGGGCCTGTGGTTCTGGGAAAACTGCTAGTTCTATAGAAATCATCAAGACAATTTGTACAGAGCAAGCAGGAGCAAGGCAGCAAGCGCAGCATTAACTAGTCTTCTCTGCTCCCAAGATAGCAAATGAAAGGACAGACACGGGGGGAAGACTATCACAGAACATATCTTGGCAACTTGGTTCAAAGCAAACATCCACTGGCGCATGTAATTACACCAACCTGAAGACTATTTCCTAACCTTGAATATTTTCCAGCTGTAACTTAGCAACCTAGACTGGGTAAAAGCATCTACCCAGGAACGCAGGTTCAGAGGAGAGATTTAGCCTTGCATTTCCTTTTGTCCCCATACCCTAGCAACAACTCTCGCACCGGAGAGGAGGCAGCCAGCTCCCACCGACTTCCAACAGTGTCCAACAGCTCCAGTGGGAGCTGTGTCGCTAACCACCCTTCGTGCTGGTGGAAATCTCACCCCTTTGTAATCCAGACCTACGTTAGGAGATTAAACATCTCTCCAACCAAACATGAGTGAGTCAACCATGTCCACAGAAGTTACACAATGATGATTCACAGACTCCACACTCACCGTTTCATGAGCAGACTTTGCAGGAAGCTAAAAATTGCAGTAGCACATGTTCTGAGTCACTGTCACCCAGGTAAGAGAAAGGAATTGAAAACACTCAGGCAAACGGCCCCAAAAGACAACTCACACTTGCTAGCGCTCATGCAGGATTTGCGTGTCTTCTACCCACCAGACAACCTTGGAAACTCAGGTACCTAGTAAATAACCTAAGACTTGACTTTCTGCCTCTACCCTTGACACAAATATCCTCCCTTTTGCAATGCTTTTTAATAGCCTTGTTTGATGCCTATTAACCCTTGAGGCACCATGAGGGAAGGGACGTGTCCCATGACACGGGACAGGACAGAATGGAGCACCAGTTCCACCCAGCACTACACTCCAGCACCCTCACCCACTTCCCACTCTTCCTATACCATGATTTGGACTTCATATCACGTCCCAAAACACTCTGTAAAGGCAAGCTCACCATGGCCTGAGGATGCCATGACACACACAGCATTGGCAACAGCCTGCAACAGAGTCAAGATTCACTGAAGAGCCTGTTGACTTCAGACACCCCAACATGCGAGAGACCTATCCAAAAGAGCAAGTACAAACCACCTGAAGCTCGAAGCACTCTCAGCCAATTCCCATAGACTTATTGTTCCATCCCATTCCCTGCTTTAAATAAATGCTTTATACCCTAGCAATACCAACCAACCTGCTAGACTAATATTTATAATACCACAGTCCTCAAAGCTGTCAGTCTCATCAAAATGCAGCTAAACAAGGTAACTGCTTTTCACACACCTTCTCTGCTTAATGCCAACTAGTCCCAAAACAGATTTAACTCGCAACCAAACACTTGAGACAGCTGGCTACTATGCCAAGATCACCGAGTATCACACGGATCCGTATTGTCTCATTAGGCCGTCAGGTAATCCCCATGCTATCTTCAGTCTTATTCTTAGAAAGTGAGCTCTCTGGAGCAGGACCTATTTCATCTGCCTGAGCAAAACACTTAACACAACCTGCGACTCCTCAACACAAACAAAAGTAACAATCATTTGTAATAAATTTATTCCATATATTGATGTACAGAGCTAAATTGAGCATATAATAAATAGCACCAAACCAGTGAAATTTAGTCTACAAAAACAAGTTGAATACAAAGTGATTGCAACACTTCACTTTTCACCTTAGATCTGGACGGTTAAAAAAAGTCAACCCAAACCCCGCAAGCATTTTAAAGAGGCCTAAAAATGTAGGCACTGGTGTTTGCAAAAATGTTTACAACAGCACTGAAGATCTTGTTACAAGACTTGAGAAGAATCAAGGCTGCCTTCATTTTATCCCCTATTTTAAAAACAGTGGAAGAAGCTGGTTATTGTCTCAGAGACAGCTGTTGAGTTTCCTTTTTTGTTCAAACACCCTACCTTGGCAACCAAAAAGAACATATGGGGATAAAAATCAACTCCATGCAGGATATCTCCCACTTAACGTACAAGACCTCCTAGTGTTTTGTTCTTGGAGAAAGCTGCTCTACCCACGTGTTTTGGCTGATGAGCCAGCAGGAGGTATGTGAGCAGTCTCTGCAGCCTACGGGGTGCATAGGCAGAAAACCCCACCAAAGCCAGCAGCGGGGGGAGAAGTGCAGACTCCACAACTGGGAGGAGAGCAGGGACCCAGCACAAGGAACTCACCTTGTGCGCGGCATCATCAACCTGCCAGCCGGCGAGCAGGGCTCTGGCAGCCCTCCCAGGCTGAACCAGGACCTGGAGAGGAAGCTCTCCATACATCCAGCATCAGAGATGAATGCAACCATTTACATCGCACCCGTGATGCCAAGGAGAACATCATCTACTAATTACATGGGTTCAAATTAACTGCTGGCTTCTCTCTGCAGGTTTTACTAGCTTATGCCAGAAATGAATTTGGTCCCTGCTGTCTTAGTAGTGAGCTGGACAGCAGTTTTATGACATTGGGAAAAGCAGATTAACAGTGTCTCTGCTCAGCCTAAGCTGTCACACAATGGTGCTATTTTCTTTGAAACAAATATTCCTTTGCTGGACATAAAAAACAAACTTAAGTAACCAAATGATTATAGACGCAAAATACGATGCCTGAAGCATGAACAGAGGATTGATCACCAAACCTTGTACCTCTTGTGAGGCTGCAGAAAAATTAACGTGGCAAACAATCCCTGTACCAACGCTCCACGCAGTGTATCTCTGCTTTGACACACAGCACACACATTGCAGCTGCCCAGGATAAACATGTACATTCATCCCTAATAGCCTTTCCAAAGCTGCTCTTTAATAACCCATGAAGCAGTCCCTTTGGCCGCAGCTGTTAAGAAAGAGCTTTCTATAGCTTCCTAGATCCTTCACTTTCCAGATTCTGCCCTCCCTCCCCCCCATAACATAAAGCGCAGAGATTGCAGACTTACAAAGCGTAATCAGGGTCACAAGCGCTCCTCCCTACCATCCAGCCCAAACGACTCAAGGCACATCAGACTGCCCTTCCTCTAGGACCACCTTCCCCCAATTTTTTTCCCCCGCTCCAATTTTAAAGGGTGAAGCAGATGCAAACAGTTTCCTTGTTAGGAATTAGTTACGTGCTTTTGGCACAGTCTCTGTACTGATAAAAACAAGCTCTAACAAAACGCATCTTAACTGCCACCCAGATGTTTCCATGGGAAATGTTAGTCTTTTCTTTAAAAAACATTCCCTGATGGACATTGCCACCGGTTGGCCTTTGCAGGATTGAGGTCAAATTTTAAACAGCTAACTCTTGTCACAGAGACCCCAAGTCCCTCCCTATTAGGTAGGCTTCTTTTTTTTTTTTTCTGTCTAGATAGTTGTTCTAGGTTTGCTTGCCTGTGGAAGCCAGACATCTGCTGGAAGTCTAACTTTGGTGCAGTTTGAGCTTCCCACCAGCTCAAGCCCATCTTCCTTACAAGCCAAGATTATTGCCCCGAATTTTTTGTGTGAAGATTTTCTGAAAGAAGAGCAGAGATGCGTGCAATCCCCAGCCTGAGGGGATTAGGACCTTGACCTGCTCTTTCCCACCATCCGAAGAGGGAGCGTCCCTTTGCAGAGGTCCACATCAACAGCTCAGCTTTTGCTCCTCTTTAGTGTTCCGAGTCTGAGAGGTAAGAAGGTTGAGTCCATCTCCACACTAGCATATCCTCTCCCGCTACTCTGTGCGACTCTGTCTGAATCCGTGACTCATTTGAAGCCAGAAAATCCACAGCTCTGTCCCAGACCCGCTTCATTTTTTTTCTAGAAGAAACAACAACAAAAGAAAAGAAAATAGAATCAAATCCTCATTGTGCTTTCCGGCTTACAGCAATTGGGGCTGCTGAGCAAGCTACTGCTAGCTTCTTCCTGTTCCCCATGCAGGCAGTGAAGGAGATTAAACCAAAATTTTGGCTTAAAGCTAATTTCAGACCAGGACACAAAGACAAAACTCCTGCCAGTGGAGAACGTGAGACCCTCTGGCAGTACAAAAAGATTGGTGAATGCCCTCAATTTCAAACCTGATTCATGCTGGGAAAAGACTCAGTTGGCAAACTGCCCCCACCCTTCCAGCATGCAGAAAGATCTCAGATCGGGGAACACAGACTGGAGTTCACCCCAGTTCTGAATTGGAGCCCAGTAATTCTGGACACCACATGCACTGAGATCAGTTCAAAACAGCTGAAATAGCTTTTTCCTGCTGGTAGTGCCATGACCAGTTAAAGGTGAGAACTTTCAAGACTTTGTCCTCTTAACAGCACAGAATGCTATGTATACTGCAGAGCAGCTCCAAGTGCAAGAAACAGGCCTGTAAAGATGAAACAGATAGCACACAGTCACCAAGAACCAGGCTCCTATCCACAGCTCCATCAGCTGTGGAACAACTATCTTGACCATGCTTCCTTTCAGAAAAAGCACAAGAACAGCCATCTTGCTGTTTTTCCAAAAGCTTTTCAAAGCTGCCCGACTCAAACAGGTAATTTTCCAGGCAGGCAACACACGCAGCCACTTCAGAAAAGCATCATGATACCCTTTTCCACTCACGGAAAGGTTCATTCTGAAAAGCGCAGCCCCTGCCTGGAGAACAAGGTAGGACAGCTGAGAAACAGGATAGCATCCAACTCAGATTAGATGGGAAGAAAATAAGGTACTCCATGCCCAGGCAAAACAAAATCCAATTACTGTTTGACAGAACAATGACAGTACACCTGTGCAACTGCTCCAAATATCAGCCCCAGGACTGTCACATTAATCTGCAGCAGGTTAAGACACAGCCTGAGTTATGTCAAAATCCTTTATAAACCGAAAGGCCAGACAGATTCTGCTTCCACTCCAGCTTCCCATCAATTGCCTGCTCATGGTCCGTTACCCCCTAACTGAGGTTCTGAGCTGAATAATGTCAAGCTGACAGCCCTCCTTCAAGAAGGAAACTCAGCTCACCTGCTCTGAGGAGGGATGAGGCTGTCTCGAACGTGGAGGATGCCAACGTAGGGGTAACGCTCCAGATTCCGTTCCCATTCCTTATAGTGGTCCTGGACAACAGCTGCGAGGGCAGAAGAACAAACAGTGAGAAGCCTCAACATTGCAGAGGAGAACAGTGCTACTTGGCTTACAGAGTTACCAGAGTCTACCTATGATCTTCTTCACCATTTCATACATGGCTTGTTCCTCTTCTGCCATCTTCCGCCAGCGATACTTAAGGAAGATCAGGATCCCCCAAAGAGTTATCAGACCTGGGAGAAGAATAAAAACAAAGGGCATTCAGTACTGACATATATGCTCTTGCTGGATGCTAGCTGTTTTATTTCTGACTCTGCCTCTTCTCCGAGGCACCTTCCACTCCCTGCCACCCAGAGCCTGCTTGGAACTGAATCCAAGCAATTCATTTGTTCATTACGGCAGCTGTGCCCCACAAAAACCTTGGTACTGACAACGCCTGCAGCAGAAGAGCATGCGTACATGGGGGAAGAGCTGGTCAGAGGGCCTCATCACGGGCTTTTTTCTACCAGAAACCTCTGGATGACCACAGGACTCTTAATTCTCTAAATCCCAGGACCATTTCTTTGCTAGAGGCCTCCCCCACAATAACGACTTAGGAAAACTGTCAAGCTCCACTGCTCTGAAAATAGGTGCTTGATAAGGAAATAAAGGCCAGGGCTCTAGCCCACAATTCAGGAGCTCTCTATTCAAGGTTTAGCCTTGACAAAGGCCCCCATTACGACATCAGTAACTTTAGTATCTTGGCCTCTGCAATAAACTTAACCATTTCCTTTCAGCCTCACCTTGCCTGGTGAGATTATAAACTCTTCCAGTCAACATCCATCTCTCGTTATCAACTATCTCAGTAAGACCTCTGTCTCAGCTGGGGCATGACGGACTGTTGCCATAAAGTCTAACACTGAAACGCTACAAGTCATTACTAAAGAGGCCAGAAGACTTCGTAGCTTCGTCCAAGAAAAGAAAGAGAAACCAAATCTTTTAGGCAGGCTAAAATACTCATTTTGCAGACCACAGTAATGGGTGCCTGAGGAATACTCAGAGAGCTAATCAGCTTGCTGATTTAAAATAAGTGTTAAGCACTCACAGAACAAGAGCAGGTCTACAGGTCTCTCTCTGCTGCCAGAACAAAGGTTAATTAGAAATTAACTCATCAGCAGATTTATTTCACCTCTGTTAGTAATTTCATATGGTTAGGAGAATGTGTGTGTGTGTGTGTGTGTGCACATGCATGTTTATCCGTACAGCTAAAGAGAGGAGAAGCTGATTACTATGATTACTAACACTACAGACTTACTCCAGAAAAACAGGAAAAGGTTCATAATGGCAGTGATCACTGCCCGACGGAAACGGCAGCCAAGCCCCATCTGAGGATGGGCTGATTCGAGACAGACCACCTCCTCCACTCTGGTGACTGGTTCAGAAGGGTCTCTGCCTTTCAACCTAATGGGAAGAGGCAGGAAATCTTCACTGAAGAGAACAGACACTCCAACTGCAGACTTTAATCAAGAAAGGGAGAACAAACAGACTGCAGAGGCACTAACTTGTTCAGTACACCACACAGAAAATACACCACATCCTTGCAGCTCCTCTTTCCAGAATATTTTGGAACTGGCTGCTTAGCAAGGAATGGATATGGCTGTAGAAAAGGCAGCAGGGCTGGAGCTCCCACTGGTAAACCAAAGTCTCCCTCTGCAGACTCTCTGACAGCACCTCTCAGCGTGCAGAAGATTAAACTTTAAATTGGATTCCCACCTCCCAGCACACAGAAATGGAAATGTTTACTGAGTCACTCATCAGCAATTGCAGAGAGCAGTTGAGGGAGACTGCATATGTCCATGGAGGTTGCACTGTTTTCCTCAGTATGGATGAGCATAAACGGTTTAGCTAGAAAAGTGACAACACATCAACTGTATCTGCAGTAGAAAACAGGCACACCCTTGGCAAGCATTCATGGCAAAATCGATAGCACATCCTCCTGCAAAATCACTTGTGCACACCTGCTGTGCTATCCGATATGCTTTTAACTCACTTCTTTATATACAGATCCACACTGATGCGGTTTCCTTATTAGCTACTCTAGGCCAACAGGCATCAAGTAATCCAAGTGAGAGCCATCAGATTCAGAGGAATTGGAATAAAGGGGATTTTATTTTTTAAAGCCATTAATTCATTCTAGGTTTGCCATGAATAACCTATTAGACAACGACACTTTCTCAGTTTACTAGGGTGAGATCACAGACTGCTGACAGCTTGTATTTGGTTACTGCATTCTACAGTAACCAAAGAGACACCCAATTGTTTCCCACTCCCCTGTCTTATTTACAATCCAAATTCCAGGAAAATGTTTAAAATATGCAACAGAATCACCCAGTGCAGAGCTCATTTTCAGTTCTGCCTCTCCGACTAGCACCTAGGGAAAAAACCTCACGTACTGTTTGCTAAAATGCCACCTGCAGGTTTTTAAAGTATGCTCAACACATTCTGCACGCTACATAGGCTTCTTGGAAGTAGATCCATTTGGTGAAAAGCTGGCAGAACTGCTAATTATGAAAATCAAAAAAGGGAGTATATAGTGTCACACTGCTCTTGACTTGAACAGTGCTCCTGTACAAAAATGTATTTGAAAACTCTGGATCTCAACCCACCCACAAATCCAAACTTGCCACTAGGGAAACAATGTCCTGTCCTGGGAAATGACCACATACCAAGAGTCAAAGTAGTAGCTGCTCTCTGACCATCAGATCACAGAAACAGCTATACAAATTTATAAGGGAAAATAAAGCACAGGGAATTTATGCAAGCTACGCCCACAAACTCTAGTGTTACTGTTGTTACAAGTCATTTAATCAGAGATACAATTAGCAATGCTAAAATGCAAACAAATGTTAGTTAACACGGAGTGGAGGCAGTGCACGCTTTCCGGAAGATACTGATGTCGGCAGACTCTGAGTAAGTCTTTCATTGGGTAACGATCTGAATGTTGTATTTTTCACTGAAAAAGAATAGCATTCCT